CTGGCGGACCGGCGTCGGCGGAAGGCATTGGCGATATCGCAGTGCAATACCGTTGAAGCAGGTGGGAGGTCGATCTTCACGTCAGACGATGAATGTTGGGACGACATATGGATCGATACATCGGACAACACCACCAAGGATGAGGATGATGATGAGGACTTGGAGTAGTTCTAGCTGCACCGTAGTTTATCTAGTTGCACCGTAGTTTAATTTTATGTAGTTGCACCGTAGTTCTGTTTTATCTATCTATGTTATGAACTTGTTTATCTATATATGCTATGAACTATGTAAAATATCTTTGTATCGTTTTTATATCTATGTGAAATTTATTTTGTGTCTAAAATGCAACAAATGTGACATGCGCCGGTTGCTCGCGCACGCTGCAGGAGCTGCGCGCGCTGTATTTTACCACAGCTACTGGAGTCAGCGCTGCCCGCCACACCAAACCTCGTGATGGACGTGCCGCAAATCAGTTTTTACCGCCGCACTTTGGGCGGCTGTTGGAGATGTTCTAAGCCTAGCCGCGGATGTACTGATGAAGAAGATAATAACCCTTGAGTTCGCCCTAAACAGAGAAGTTCTATTTATTCGGCAACAACCAACTAAACCTTATTTTAGGAGAAGAAAAATCTCCTAGTTGTACTTCCAGTTGTTGAGCGTCTCTCCTTTCTGAGAGTCATCTTCCACACGCCATGCGCTGATGACCTGGTGGACAATCGGTCCTGCGTTCTCCGTGAGGCAGTTCTGCCCGCCATCCTCCACGCGCCATGCGCTGATGACCTGGGGGGCAATCGGTCCGCCGTTCTCCGTGAGGCGGCTCTGCCCGCCATCCTCCACGCGCCATGCGCTGATGACCTGGGGCTGGGGGACAATCGGTCTGCCGTTCTCTGTGAGGCGGTGCTGCCCGTCATCCTCCACCCGCCATGCGCTGATGACCTGGTGAACAATCCGCCCATCGCCGTCCATCGCGCGGTGGTTCTGAAAGAAACACAGGCGCGATTAAAAAGCTAAGAGAAGAAGAAAACGAAACACGATCGGTAAAAATGGATAAAGAGCATGTACCTGAACGTTGGAGGACTGCGGCGCGGCTTGAGCAGATCGGGCGGCAGGACCGCTTCGGCAAGGAGTAGAGAGCGAGAAAAGATTTAGGGTTTGATCGTAGTGCGACCGCACGGCGTGCGGATGGGTCTCTTTTGTAGGCCCTTGCGTAAGTGAGGCTCTATGGGCCTCGGTTGATGAAAGGCCCCAATAATGGGGAAATTGAGTAGTCTTTTGCGGCAAAGGCTATATCTCGCTATGTTTTTTCTACGGTCTCGAATAAAGCATTTTGGGCCCCACTACAGTACTGGGCCGTCCCTTTCTCATCTGTTTTTTCTTTTACTGTTTCAGACAGGGAAGACGCATAAGAGGATACGTGGTCTTGAAATTTTGAGAAAAATGGCATCTTCACGGTCCGATCAGTATATCGTATGCTAGTGGATACAAAGAGAAGGAGAGAGGAATGGTTGGAAAACAATGCACGGAGATCAAACTATGAAGAAGAAGCAAGGGAGTGGTCCTAGCTATGGTCTGTTGGGGTACCCGGAAAAATCAAGATTTTTTTGTGGAGACTTGCTAGATGTTCTATCCCCACAGAGGACATTCGTCTTAGCAGAAGCATGGCTGACAATGAGGATTGCCAACTATGTGGTGCACAAGATTAATGGCGGCACTCTCTGATGGAGTGGTCAGCATCAAGGTGTGTGTGGGCTCTAGCTGATGGGGATATTGTTGATCACATGGATACCACTAGGGAGCCGAACACCAAGAGCTCGATTTTCTCTATGATTGAGAGTTTATCCCACAAAAAACTCACAGAGCTGTTTGTCACACTTTGGGCAATCTGGACGGCAAGGCGGAAGGCGATTCATGAAGGTAACCTACAGAGTCCACATGCAACTCATTCTTTCATAATCAGTTTCATAGTCGAGCTGGAGTCTTTACAAAACACAGAGAGATCACAAGGTGAGAGGGTGCGAGCGACCATAGCCGGGAGCACTTCTCCCCATAACTGGAGACCTCCAGGTGAAGGCTTTGTTAAGATCATTGTTGATGGCAGATTCTCGGGGAACGGAGAACGAGGGGCAGCAGCAGCGGTTTGCAGAAACAATAATGGTACCTTTTTGGGCTCATCAGCAATGGTCTTTAAAGGTATTAACGACGCAACTACACTTGAGTCCGTGGCTCGCAGGGAAGCTCTTTCATTAGCCCTCGATCTTATGGAGGACAGAATTGTTGTCGCTTGTGATTCAAAATCGGTGGTAGCAGATATTAGCAAAGGCACATTGTGTTACAATCGAGGGAGTTCTCCACATATGATATCAAATTCGAAGGTCGGGCTTCCAACTGGGAAGCGCATTGCTTAGCAAAATTTTCGAGTTCATTAGATGTTGGACGACATGTGTGACTAAGTTATCCCCATGATCCCCTAATTATTCATGTAAACCTTAACATTATTCAATAAAGTGTGGTTTACTGCTAAAAAAGATAGGGGAGATCGCTCGTGATGGTTGATGTACTGGTTTCTTTTGGGGATTTTTTCTCTCTTTCTTTTTCTTTTTAATATTTTTACGAGAAAAACTACCGATGTATTCATCAACTGTCATGGTAGTACAAAGAGCACCAGAACTAAAAATTGCATTCGACAAGTCCGTAGACCATCTAGCGGCGACTACAAGCATTAGAGCGAGCCGAAGGCCCGTCGCCGTCACCGTCTCTCCATCATCGGATCTGGGCAAACCTTGTTGTAGTAGACAGTCGGAAAGTCATCGTGCTAAGACCCTAAAGCACCAGCGCAGCAGAACAGCAACAGTCGTCGATGAAGAGAAGCATAGGTCGGAAGGGTCCAACCTGTGGACATGGGAAAATAGACGAACGAAGACCGGATCCACTGACGACAAATGCTGACCAAATCTCGTGAAATGCGCCAGAGAAAAACTTTCACACGCCCTCGGACGATGCTAGAAGCACCACCGAGACAGGGGGGATCTCATTCCATCTTCAGAAAGCCACCGGCGCCCCACCTTCCTTTGTAGGACACAAACCTACCAAAACTCAAAAAATTTACCTAGATATGGAGCCCTCCAATCGGCAAGGACCAGGATCCACCGCGCCTCCATGACCCTAAGCCCAAAGAAGATGAGGCAGGCTGGCTGCGGGAGGCAGTGGAAACCCTAGCGTTGGGTGCCTTGCGTGCGCCAGGCATACTGAGTTCTAGATGGTGCTGATGTTGGAGAAGCTTCTCGTAATCAGTGTTTTGTCAAGAGTAATAGTTCTTGATGTTTTGTTGTATTTTCCTTTATATATAATTTTTAACACAGTACTGACACGAACGCTCATACATATACACATACACTCACCTCTATGAATGAACACATGCACACCTTCGATTGATTGAGCCGACATATCATCTTAAATTAATAAAGTCGTCACATGCGCCTCTGTAGTCGACTAGAACATCTCCTCACTGAACAAACATCGCCGAGCTTGAAATAAATCCAGGAAAATGCGAGCACTAGTGTCTAGTCTGGGACTTGAATCTTAGTGGACTGGTCTCACCACAAAGAACCTAACTATCTGAGCTAGGCTCAGTTCGAATAAAGGTTGGGTGTGTTTTCGTTGTTTTTTTATCTCTTTGACATGACATTATGAGTCAATAAAAGCATAATGTATGGAGAGAGAAAATTTAGTTATCTAATTCTTTTGTGAGGTGTTGACGTATAAATGCATAGCCCACATTTTCTTATCAGTTTGAACTTTTGAGTGAACCGACTGATGCGTGCTATTCTACATGATATAAAAGCCAAGAGGTCTTGAGTTCAAGAACAGACTACCTTATCAGTTTGAGCTTTTGGATGAACTGACAGTACAAATATCAAACTGAACTGAAGGTGAGAGATGTTTAGGAGGTACAATGGTGTTTAACCCCTCAAAGTAGAAATTTTAGAGAGATACGTATTCCCTCCTATTCATATTAAATGACGCTTCTTTAACACAAATATGTACTCCCTCCATTCCAAAATATAGTGCGCCCACGCTTCCCGAGGTCCAACTTTGACCATAAATTTAACCAACGAGACCAACTGCGGCGGGAGAAAAAAAAATATAATTGAAAACTTCTTTTGAATACGAATTCACTGATATAATTTTTGCTCCCGCCGCAATCGGTCTTGGTAGTTAAATTTGCGGTCAAAGTTGAAGCACGAGGATAGAGGAAGCACTACATTGTGGAATGGAGGGAGTACTAAAGTTTTACTAAAGCAACGTCAATTAATTTGAATCGGAGTGTATAACATTTTGAGGAAAGGGTAGATGCTCTTAGAGCATGGTTAATAATATAGCCAAAAGCCGGCTATATGGAGTTGTCATGTCACTTATAGCCAATCTAATAGCCCATTCATACAATAGTTAGCCATACTAGTATGTTATATAATTAATATATGGTCCGTCTTTTTCTCTCACAAAGCTTGTTGGGTGTCGTGCTATAGCCGGTTGTAATTGTAACCCGTTTCTCTTCTGTCTTCTCTCTTCTCGTCTTCAATTAGGTACAAATTTGATATGGCATCTCTTATAGCCCATCGACATTACTCTATTGTATTTGCTCTATGATGTAATCATGATAATTCGGAGACTGCAGCCACAACACAAGGACGAAATTTACGGAAAGCGACACGCCAAGTAACGCAGTGGCAATCAGGAACAACCAAGGAAAGAGAGACACAAGGTAAACGCACTGGTGTAATCAAGCTTAAACTAACTGAACCAGTTTTTAAGCCAAAGCTGGCACAAAGACAGATTGACGGACTACAACCTCGATCCTTTTGCGAGGGAAGTACAAATACCAAATTCAACTCGAATAATGGCGGAGGCACACTGTAGAGCGTCAGAACGACTTAGCCTCCTTTATTCATACATAAGTAGCAGCAACTTGACGATGATGCGCACGTACATCCAACGGCGCGTTAGGCAGAGGATGCGTCGAGGCAGACCCACTGGCCGACGAAGATCCTGACGCAGTTGATGTTGGGGTTGAAGCCCAGGAAGTCCTCCTGGCTGAGGCCGGCGCTCTCCGCGAGGGAGGAGCAGGTCTCGCCCGTCTGCACCGCGCTCACCTTGTTGCACGTCAGCGCCGGCACCGCCTTCGTCAATGCATAAACTGCGAAACGCACAGACAGGCACACGTCCAAAGGGTTACAAACTTACAATCCAGCACATTTGGCCAGATCATGGACGATGTTGATCGGTTGACGCGGACGTACCTCCGTTAATGCTGCCGCGCTGCAGCTGCCCGGTGATCCTGGCGTCGGCGATGGTGACCGCAACCGCAACCACGAGCACGGACGCGATCAGGAGAGCGGCGGCTCCGTGGTTGGCCATTGCAGATGCAGATGCTGCCGACGAGGAGGAGGGATGTATAAGTGGATAGTAGGTGCTCGTCAGGCTCTGCTTTGGTGGTGATGAGAAAGCTTAGCCCACGCCCTTTTTATAGCGTAACGAGCTCGACACTCGAAAGTCGATAAGATGGAGGGTGTGACCAAAAGATTCCGGCCATGGCCTTGGAGACGGCGTCCGACGCACGGGCGATACTGCTTATGCTGAGAACGGCATGGACATGTCGTTCCTAACATTTACAGGCCGGGCCCTGGGGTAATACCATCTGTGATTCCTATGGAACTGCTTTGTACTACTGTAATATTCTTCGACCGCCATGTGATTTTGACCGGGCACAATATTTTACACTCACGTTGCTCACCTTTTTCTGTTTGAAACTGTCTTGCTCCATGTTGGTGGTACCGCAGTGACAGTGGAGAAACAAGAAGGAATCGATCGCAGGAGAGAGAGAGGAGGACACTAGGATCAGAGAGGACTGCAGTCAATCGGCAAAAAGGAAAAGAAAAGAGGACTGCAATCTGAGTTGGCGAAATTTTACGGCATGACACGACTGCGCAACCTGAAAACAGATAACAGATTTTTTTTATTTTATTTTTTTGAGAAAAAGTAGGGGTGAAATGCGATTGTTGTCTATCACTCTCGATCCATGTGGTCAGTGTAGTTCAGTCTCCAGTGTATCAGTTAGAGCATCTCTAGCAGACCCCGTAAAGCGCCGACCCGCATAAGGCTTTTGCAGTTCATGGAAAAGGGTATATGCGGGCCGGCGTGGGCGCGGTCAGACTCAGATCCCGCAAAACGGACCTGTAAAAAAGGATATTCGGTGAGTATGCTCTTTTACGGGTCGGCTATGCGGGGTCTGCTCGGGCACCGCCACGTCCACCGCAAGACGCCCAATTATCGAATTTGAGATCGATTCCGACAAATGAGTTCAAATTCAAACAATAGAACACAGTTCACACGCAAATAAAAGCTTAGTTTTGTATGACAAATGCAAAATGGGGTCTTGCAAAAGTGACGACCACGTCCAGCATCACCTTGGTCGATCTTCACTCCGCGTCACCGAGTCCATTGAGGTCATCGCAACCACCGAGTCCACCTCCGGCACTTGTTCCAACTCCAGCACCAAAATCATCGGTTGGTGCACTGTAACACGCACTGGCCGACGCAAGCATTCTCCTCTTCAAGATATCTCTTCTTGCCATATCATGCCATTCTCTAGTGAGGTCGTCCATGTCATTGCGGTTCAGTGTCATGATCTTGTTCTCTTCGGCAACCAACTTGGACATGGATTTGTTTTCAGCGGCACGTACTCTTCTCTCCTCAATGGCCGCTTTGCGCAGCCCCTCGTCCTTGGGCAATTGCCATTTTTCTTGCTTCTCTCGTGTCTTCTTCTCGGCCAACTCCTTCTTTATCTCCAACGTCTTTGCTAACATCAACTCATTTGATCGCACCATGGCATCAATCTTGTGCCGGAAGCTCGATGCTTCGTGCTCTCTCTTCATTTTCTCCTTAGTCTTCTTTTCACCATCGGGTTTGTTCAAGTTTCTTGGGTCATCTTCATCCATGTTTGCAAGTGAACCTCTCTTCGGTGGGGATTCTTTGTCAATCCACTTTCACTTCTCGCACTCTTTGAGCAAGTCCCAATAATGTTCTAGTTTGAAGAATTTGCCTACTGAAGCTTCCATGTCTTTATATCTTTGATGGGCAATTTTGTCCTACACAATTTAAGCAAAGTCAACTGATGCAATATGATGCAATTCTTCTTCACCACCGTGATCATCCACGCCGCCCTCCGTTTCATTGTAATTGAATGCAGCGAACGGGGCTTGATCGATGTCAACGGCGTTGGTGTCCAACAAGTTTACGAACTCGGCAGTGGCATTGTTAGAACCACCGCTATAGTGAGCGACAAACAAGTCACGAGCTACCGCAAATGGTGAAAAGCAAAGAAAATTGAAGGGACCGAAGAGGCATACCTTCCGGCCATTTCATCAAACACCTCGCTTGCGGTGGAAGCAGCACCGTTGACCAGCGTCCCCGGAGAACCTCTTGCCGGGGCAGAGGGAGTGGATGAAGGAGTCGGCCTCTTTGTAGCCGGAATCTTCTTCCGCTTTACGCCCAAGACCTTGGCGACCTTCTCCACCGCCAGCCGGCAACGCGCAGCGGCATTGGTGCCCGGAGCGTGGGCCTTCTAGGCGGTGGCAGCCGGATTCCCACCCCCCACGACCACGTTGCCATGTCGCTTGCGGGCAGGCGCATCGGTGCCTTGGGCGACGGCGGGGCTATGATGCCCCCAATTCAATCATACACTAATCATGCACTCAAATGTGTACGATCAAGATCAGGGACTCACGGGAAGATATCACAACACAACTCTAAAAATAAAATAAGTCATACAAGCTTCATATTACAAGCCAGTGGCCTCGAGGGCTCGAATACAAGTGCTCGATCATAGACGAGTCATCGGAAGCAACAACATCTGAGTACAAACATAAGTTAAACAAGTTTGCCTTAAGAAGGCTAGCACAAACTGGGATACAGATCGAAAGAGGCGCATGCCTCCTGCCTGGGATCCTCCTAAACTACTCCTGGTCGTCGTCAGCGGCCTGCACGTAGTAGTAGGCACCCCCAGTGTAGTAGGATTCGCCGTCAACGGTGGCGTCTGGATCTTGGGCTCCAACGTCTGGTTGCGGCAACCGGGAAGAAGAGGAAAAAGAGGGGAAAGAGGGAGCAAAGCAACCGTGAGTACTCATCCAAAGTACTCGCAAGCAAGGACCTACGCTACATATGCATGGGCATATGTGTAAAGAGGCAATATCGGTGGACTGAACTGCAGAGTGCCAGAATAAGAGGGGGATGGCTAGTCCTATCGAAGACTACGCTTCTAGCAGCCTCCATCTTGCAGCAGTAGAAGAGAGTAGATTGAAGTCCTCCAAGTAGCATCGCATAGCATAATCCTACCCGGAGATCCTCCCCTCGTCCCCCTGTGAGAAAGCGATCACCGGGATGTCTCTGGAACTTGTCTGGGTGTGTTTTATTAAGTATCCGGTTCTAGTTGTCATAAGGTCAAGGTACAACTCCGGGTCGTCCTTTTACCGAGGGACACGGCTATTCGAATACATAAACTTCCCTGTAGGGGTGCACCATATTTCCCAACACGCTCGATCCTCTTTGGCCAGACACACTTTCCTGGGTCATGCCTGGCCTAGGAAGATCAACACGTTGCAGCCCCACCTAGGCACAACAGAGAGGTCAGCACGCCGGTCTAAATCCTATGCGCGCAGGGGTCTGGGCCCATCACCCATTGCACACCTGCATGTTGCGTGGGCGGCCGGAAGCAGACCTAGCCCCCTTAATACAAGAGCAGGCTTACGGTCCAATCCGGTGCGCGCCGCTCAGTCGCTGACGTCACGAAGGCTTCGGTTGATACCACAACACCGAGTGCCCATAACTGTTCCCGCGTAGTTGGTTAGTGCATATTGGCCAGTGGCCAAACTCAGACCAAATACTAAGATCTCGTTAAGCGTGTTATTATGAAGTAACCGCGGACGCCGACCAGGGCCAGGCCCACCTGTCTCCTATGTGGTCTCAACCTGCCATGTCGCTCCGCCACAAAGTAACAGTTAGGGGCCGTCGGGAACCCTGGCCCACCTCTACCGGGATGGAGCCACCTGTCCTTTCAGCCCCCACATCGGAATCAACCGCGGGTACTCAACAAGCCGACCCGACTTTAGTCACCAACTGTATAGTATGTATGAATGTAAGTATATACCCGTGATCACCTCCCGAGTGATCACGGCCCGATAGTATAGCAAGGCAGACTGACAAGAATGTAGGGCCATTGATGATAAACTAGCAACCTATACTAAGTATTTAGAATTGCAGGTAAGGTATCAACAGATGTAGCAACAATGACAGGCTATGCAACAGAATAGGATTAATCAAAATAGTAACATGCTATACTACTCTAATGCAAGCAGTAGAGAGAAGAATAGGCGATATCAGGTGATCAAGGGGGGGGTTGCCTGGTTGCTCTGGCAAGAAGGAGGGGTCAGTCGTACTCGGCAGCTGCAGCATCGGTCTCGTAGTCTACCGGAGAGAAGAGGGGGAAGAAACAATAAATACAATGCAAACATAAACATGACGATGCATGACATGACAACGAGCGGTGTTAGGTGTGCCCTAACGCGGCAGTAGGTGGTACCGGCGAAGGGGAAAAACATCCGGGAAAGTATCCCCGGTGTTTCGCGTTTTCGGACAGATGGACCGGAGGTGAAATGTTGCAGGTTCACTATGCTAGGGACGCGTGGCGGACGAACGGGTTGCGTATCTGGATTCGTCTTGTCGTTTTGATCAACTTTCATGTACAAAGTATTTTCATCCGAGTTACGGATTATTTTATATTAATTTTCAAAGTTTTACTCATTTTCTAGAATTAACAGATTATTATAATTCAAAATTTCACTTATGACGCCAGCATGACATCAGCAGTCAACTCTGACCGTTGACTAGTCAAGCTGACACGTGGGTCTCACTGTGATTGACAGACTAACTAACTAACAGATTTAACTAAATTAATTAGTTAATTAGATTAACTAACGCAGGTTAATTGGTTTAATTAATTAATTAATTAATTACATCTTTATTATTATATATTTTTAATTTTTAATTTTTAATTTTTTAATTTAGTTTTTTTATTATTAAATCATTCTGCGGGTGGGCCCGAATGGGAGTGGCCTATCAGGCCTAACGGGCACTGGGCGCTAGCGGTTACAGGTTGCGGGTGCTTGCGGCGCCCGACCAGGCGAGGGCTGAGCGGCACAGATGGGCGCCGGCGTCAGGCGATGACCGGGGCCGCGGCGAGGCCGGCCAGGAACGGCACCGGCGAGGCCGGTCGAGTGGCGGACTGCCGCAGAGGACGGCCGGGGTCGCGCGAGAGGGCGGTGGAGACGGCTGCGGCCAGAGACGGCGCAGAAGTGGCGTAG